AGGTAACCTGAAATTTCTGAGATGCATGTTTGTTTCCCAGTAGGAGGGCAGATATGAGTCTTAGTAAAGTTGGGTTTAAGTTGCTTTCTGTCACAATATGTCCAAAGGGCTAGTTGGGATATTTCTGCCCATTTTAGCTCAGCTTCTCTGTTCTCATTGACTGGGTACCTGCAGCTACAGCACCACTATCCACAAGTGCTATCTTTTTCAGGGAACCTGAACTCAGAAAATAAATCTTTAAAAACACATACGCGGCAGGCAGCCTAGTGAGAAATAAGCATAGTCACTAGCCACAGAAGACTGTTGGGGTATTTGAAGTGAGGAGGATGGGAAATCAACTAGATAGCAAGTGTAGTGTAGATCCTGAACAGCAGCACTACAACACCAACATTTTCTTATAGTTCCCATTTGTAATTTTAAAACCTATTTTAAGGTACCGGCCATGACTACGTTAGATGATAATGTATTCCAGCTTAGAAGTCTTTTACTCAGTCCCTCATCTGCCTGCCCCAAGGTATTGGCCCATCAACTATTGAGTAACTCTACATTTTAGTATTCAGAGAAAGGGGAAATCCTATCCAAATTCTTCAGACTTTTGTAACCCTCTTATGTGTGTGTCCTCACCACCACCGCCAGCCCGCAATTTAGCTTTTTTCCTCTTAAAAATGAAGAGACCTCAATTTCTGTAGTCTTTCCTCTTGAGGAAGATGATGCATTCCTGTGATAATTTTAGTTGACCTTCTCAAGCTCCAATACTGTACCTTTAATAAAAACCCATTTACAGTACATCCAGTACTGTATTTTAAATGTGTTTGCATCATAGTGGCATAATATTTGCTAGTATTTTTCATTTGCTACAGTTTCCCCTCTCCTAATAGTCCTTATGGAATCTTCCTTTTTCTAATGTTGGCTAATGTTTTCAGTATACTTTCTACCACGACCAAAACCCATTTACAGTACATCCAGTACTGTATTTTAAATGTGTTTGCATCATAGTGGCATAATATTTGCTAGTATTTTTCATTTGCTACATTTTCCCCTCTCCTAATAGTCCTTATGGAATCTTCCTTTTTCTAATGTTGGCTAATGTTTTCAGTATACTTTCTACCACGACCAAGATTTTTGCTTAATATTCAGAATTAATTAGACCATATTTATTTTATTTATTTATTTATTATTAGACTTAATACCCCGCCCCTCTAGACAATGTCTACTCGGGGCGGCTTACAAGAATAACAGCACAGCAATATAGTAAATATAAAAATCATCTAAAACACAATTTTAATACTTATTTCTAAACAGCATATTACCAATTAGAACTTTGACTTCTTGTAGATTTAGTCTTCTCTAGCTCAGTGAATTAGATATCTGGCTGCAGAGCCAGAAGTTGCGAGTTTGATTCTCAGTATGTGCCCCACAGGAAGAGCCAATTAGAACTTTGACTTCTTGTAGATTTAGTCTTCTCTAGCTCAGTGAATTAGATATCTAGCTGCAGAGCCAGAAGTTGGGAGTTTGATTCTCAGTATGGGCCCCACAGGAAGAGCTTGCCTGTGTTGCTTTGGACAAGCTGCACAAATGCTGTCAGAAAAAGGCACTCTATGGCTGCAGTCACAGCACCATCACAAATAAGGGCAGGTATGTCCTTTTTCAGGTCAATTCCAGCTTGTGGCAGTCATTGCTAGGATAAACCATTCCTGATAACTCTATCTAGGAAACCCTGAAAAAGGATTGCCATAAGTCAGAACTGATTTGATAGTACATAATTTTATTGTTATTGTTGACTAGTTTGAAGAACCCCTGCCCCCCCCCTTTACCTCTCCTTTGGGTTTCATGATCCTGTATGATCTCATACAAACCATCTCTGTTTTGGGGGAACTCTAAGGTTTATAATGTGCAGAATATCTCTGCAGGGTAGAATGCCTCGGGAGACATACAGTTTAAAATAGTGAAATCAGAATTGAGCCTGTTCAGTGGACCCATAATGGGTGCAGGGAAGACGAATAGAAAACTGTGGGGCATTGGTGGAATTAAACTGGGTGTCGGGAAGCTTGAACCACAGCCTTTTATATTACAACATTTATTGCCAGTCCCAATTACATATTTTATAGCTATAATTGATTTTTCTCTCACTTTCTTCTTTCATTTCTCTAATAATAGCATTGCATTTGTTTTACCACATTCCCACCACCCCCACATTCTCACCACCTTTTTGTTGAAATTCAGAAAAGAACTCCACTACTTAAAGGAAGCCCTTCTCACCTTTGATAACTTTCATGGCTCTGTTATTTAACTATGCTAGCAACTTGTTTTCCTCTCAGGTACCACCTACTCATTTTTCTTACATTAAACAACAACAACAATAACAATATTGTATGCAATTCTAATATTCTCGTTTGAAGTTACCATCATGCTTTCTGAAAACCATGTTTTCAGCTCCCATCTCCTTTTATCTACCTTAAGAAAAAGGATCTCTTCTCTTCTTTTTCTTTTCTTTTCTTTTCTTTTCTTTCTTTCTTTCTTTCTTTCTTTCTTTCTTTCTTTCTTTCTTTCTTTCTTTCTTTCTTTCTTTCTTTCTTTCTTTCTTTCTTTCTTTCTTTCTTTCTTTCTTTCTTTCTTTCTTTCTTTCTTTCTTTCTTTCTTTCTTTCTTTCTTTCTTTCTTTCTTTCTTTCTTTCTTTCTTTCTTTCTTTCTTTCTTTCTTTCTTTCTTTCTTTCTTTGAGATGTCAAGTTGATTCCAGCTTATGGCAGTCATTCTTAGCGTTTACTAAATATAAAGTGCTCAGAAGTGGGTTACTAGTCCCTCCTTCTGGTGATGCTTTGAGGTCACATGACTTGCCCAAGGACACACAGGCTAATTATTCTCAGAGGCACAGCAGGGAATTGAACTCCTGACCATTGGCTCTACAGCCATATGCTCCAACCCACTGGGTGCCCTGTCAGTACTTTTCCTTAGAAACTCCATGAAATTGTTTAGGCCTTCTTAGGCAATTTTTGTTGCTGTTTGGGACTGAATCAAGAGCGATATCCGTTCTCTTTTACTTGGTTCCATTACTGCGTATGTCAAAATATACTCACCTATCGTATTTAGACATCTTGTGATCATCTGTACTTATTTTCCTTGATTTGCTGCCATCAAGTTGTTTTTAGGGTAGTTGAAGTCATCCACTATTATATTTTCTACTCCTGGTCATATTACTGTTTTTAGTGTCATAGTGTTACAACCAGAGTTCTGATCGAAGGTCTGACTCTTTGAGCATGTTTTTAAAATCCTATAATAATTATGCTAATAATTTTCAGGTTCTAATTTGTTCAACTTTTATCTTCCTGGAGATACAAAATAAACACTTCTCAAACACAACCTACTCATTTTTCTTACATATCCAGGGATAGCTGAGTCCTATTTATTTTTTCCCATATTCCTACACATACTAGTCACAGGGCATGATATGAAAGCATATTATGTGGGCATTTCTGCTAACATTAAGCAGATGGTCTAAAATAGGATTGGATCTTAAATGGGAAACCATCTGGGAAACCTATCTATGCTACTTTGAGATCCATGGAAGAAAGGTAGGATACAAATATAATATAGATGTACATTGACCTTCATATTTTACAATAATCAGGCATGCTAACCTATCTTGGATTTCAGTTTTTAGAACTGACACATCAACATAGCGATACCTACGTATATTGCTATCTAAACAAAACAAAAAGAGAGAACTCCCCACCATAAGTTTATATGTAAATTACATAAGTGTTGTTATTCTAATTGTTTTAGCACCCCCAGTTTTTTCTGAATTAAATAATCCAATTTACTTTAAGAGGTGGGTAATATATTTTTATGAACTGAAATACTCTTTTATGAAACTTTTGTGGTTGCTTGGTTTGTCTTTTCCCGTTTTTTCCTCTAGAAGAGTCATTCCCACAGTTACTGTGTTATTGTTGAAACTGCATGGTATAGGAGTTGTGGAGGGGCAGAGGGAGGATTTGGGTCTGTCTGTCTGGTATTTCTTTAGACTTCATGGAGAAAGGATGTAGCAGTGGTCTGAGATTGCCTAAGAAAAACTGAGACCGTGCTTCCATGCCATTGTTTTCCTGTCTGTTTAAATGTTCTCTTGCATGGAAGCATTGTCAGGATACCTCTTTGTTGGCTGGTTGGTTGGAGGTTGGAAAGAGTGGAGGTGTTTGCTGTGGACACTGTGATTGTTTCCTGGCACTGAATGGCACTAGGCCAAGGAGAAGGAGCATCTAGGTTCTAATGACTTGGAAAGAGCAGCACCAACTGCCTGTCATTGCATACCAATCTTCTGTCATTGTGGTAGTGTGTTGACCCGTTCAGCAAATTCCATTTCGAAGAAGTTCAAGAAGAAAGAAAACTCTAAAACTAGCCTCTGTTTGTCCATTTCTCTGAATTCACTGTGCTCCATTGTTCTGTTTTGTTCTTTTTTAAAAAAAATATTCATTCCTACAATTTTCCTTGGTCCCTCTTTAATTGTTTCTTTTGTTAGGAGACTACCTAAACTCAGATAGAATTGTGTGTGAGTGTGTGCTTTTCAGTGCCATGGAGAGAAAAACACCTTCTTGAACAGTTACAGTGTCTGGCACTTGGCTTCTCCTATTTGTTGCTTTCAAAACTAGAAGGCCACCATGTTTAATGCACTTGCATTAAGACTGTATTGTGACAGCTGGAACCCTTCAGTTTAACCCAGCAGACCATCAGCCTTATTGGACCATGACTGAAATCATTGGCTAGGAACTACTTCAGCCTGGTTTCTCTGCAGATTACAGGAGGGAAGAACACATCCTAGTTTGGCCACCCAAGTCATGTGAACATATGCAAAGAAGTTGTGAAGGTATCTTTCGGTCAATGATTTAGGACAAACACGGCCTGCTGCTTTAGAATGTCATATTTTTCTGATTTTTTGTTTGTTGTTTTTGTCTTCTATTCTTCTTAATCTCATGCATTTAATACGTAGCCTCTTGCTCTCTTCTCTCAGGAAACAGGAGCAATTCCAGGCTAATCCTGACAGTTACAATGGAGCAATGCGGGAGAATTACGCCTGGTCTCAAGACTACAGTGACCTGGAGATTAAAGTCCTGGTGCCCAAGCACATTGTGAAAGGCAGGCAGGTAAATGAATGCCCAAATAGTAGGTGACAAGTTCCTATCCAGTCACAGTATCTTATCTGTATAATGCTTTCTAGTGCTCTGACCTATGGCTAAGGGTAGTGATGTCGGCCTGTAATATTACAAACAGGCTTCCTGTTGTAGTTGATTGAAACTATCCACCAGAGGGCCACACCTACTTAATTTTGAGTTGAAAAAGTAGTCTTCAGGTAAGTATGGAGGAGGCATCTGAGTAGTTGAAATGTTCATATAGATTTACCTGGTTCACAACTTGCAAACCAATAAGCAAATAAAAGGTATATGAAATGTGTACGTTGGGAGAAAATGCAGAGAAATGCATGTATTACTGGATTTTCCACAGAAAAAATGCACTGTAGGTGGGGAAATTGCCTGCAAAAATGCACTTATTTGGGGAAGGGGAGTTAATGTCGAAGCATACATTAAAAGCAAGCAAAATACAAATTATCAGGCAGACCTAAAAATTCATAAGGACAGAATGAAGCAAATTTAACATCTGGAAAAATGAGAAGCTTCTATATTCACTTGGTCCTTCAGGACACATGGAGGGGGGTCATTCTGGGAGTGCTGCACACTTTTCAGGTCTACTCCACAGTATTTTAGAGCACAGCATTTACTGTATTTTTTGCACCATAAGACTCACTTTTTTCCCACAAAACAGGGGGGTGGAAAGTCTGTGCATCTTATGGAGCGAAGAAAACAGATTATATTTTCCTGTTTTCTTCTCCTAAAAAATCGGTGCGTCTTATGGAAAGGTGCGTCTTATAGAGCGAAAAATACGGTAGCTTGGTTGTACCCATCTGGTGGAATATTCTTATTTTTAGGTATAAATGAACGAAAACCTATTTTTGTAAGAATTTCTGGTGTAGTTCTGTGTGCCATATATTTTACAACTAGGCTTAAAGTGGCTGGTGTGTATTAATTTTTATGTATTGTTTTACATTGCATGATTTATGATTATTGTACGCCTCTTTGAAATCTTTGAAACTTTCATAACCAAATTGGATTGAAATGGACAGATTTGCCCATTATTAATGGAAGCATTTACCTTCAACATAGCTAAGAAGCCTGTTGCAAACAGGTGCAGCAGGATGCTCTTCATTCTTCCTGTTCTTCCCAGATGCTTAACCTGGCTTTCTCAAAGCTCTGTTTTTGACTTCTCAACAGAATATCTTGCACATTTCCTATTTCCCTTGTGCCTTACCTTCTGTGTGGTTATGCTAAAACAGACTTCCACTCACAGATACGAAAAGTGTAGAACAAACCATGACCAAGTAGTAGAGCAGAATACCCAAAGTTCACACACCCCCCTCAGCACCTACATATAAAAGGATAGTGTATGAGGTAATGGGAAGTACCTTTGTCCAAGAACCTGGAGAGCTGCTGCCAGTTTTAGTAGGGTAGGGATGGGCAGTTTGGTGGGCTTGGGGACCAAAGATTTTTCCCAGACACTTACTAGGCAAAGAAGTAGCTGCTTTAAAAGAAACAAAACAAAACACAAGGATAGGAGTTTTCCAGGCAGGCTTTTTAAGGTTGGTTGGTTGGCTGGTTGGTTCATTTGTTTGTTTGTTTTTAGGGTTGGGGCCTAATGGGATATCCTTAGTATCCACAATGCAAATTTAGTTTTAAATTGGGAGTTGTTTGGTCCCCTGGGGGCAACATATGGACATACCTGGAGTAAACAGATGCAGACTACAGAGACAGGTACTCTGACCTGACCAAAGGCAGCTTTCTTGTTTTCCTAAAGCAGCCTTTTCCAACATGGTACTTTCCAGATGTCCTGCTCTACAACTCCCATCACGCTCATTGTGCATGACTAAGTTTGATAGGAATAGTGCTTCAGCACATGCAGAGACCACCAGATGGAGTGAGGTTGTCCTAGGTCATACTCGTAGCACTGCATCACAAGTAAGAACGCTTTCGAGGTCATCAAGATTCTTCACAAGGTTGAACATTGAGCCTGTCCTCTGCAAAAGAAAATGTGGGGAGAAAGGAGAAAATGGTGTTTCAAAATTGACTAAGGGAAGCTATTTTCATATTTGTTTGCCAGTACATATGTGCATCTATGTACTGTACTTGTATCTGAATAACTACTTAATAGTTTCTCATTATTGATCTCTGACTTGCCGAGTCAGATTCAGTTACCATATTTTTCTGTGTAAAAGACTATACTTTTTCCTAAAATCATTGGAGGAAAAATTGAGGGTCGTCTTTTACATAGACGTAAGCTGAGGAGAAAACTGTGCAGTAACAAAACTGCCTACCCTATGCTCAGGGCTTGAAAAATGCGCTCGTCCACTTGTCTATGATGAGTGAAAAATGCTGTTCCATGAGCCTCTCTCTCTCTAATCCTGCAGTCCTCCCCTCCCCCCTCCATTGCAAAAGGAAAACCGTCCTCTTCTCACGAGAAGAGAGTTCGAGCGGCACATAGAGATATAGTTCTATAGGAGTACTTCCATGCTGGAGAATATGGAGATTCCCTGCTCCCAATTTCAACCAAACAAGGACACATCATGGGGTGGGAGGGAACCGTGGCTCCTTAAGAGGCCAGGCGCTTTTGCTTTCAGTTTTATTTTTGCTGAAGACTTTCAAAGGAAAGGCATTAAAAATACAAGCTTCATGACCCCACAGGCACGCAGGTAATAAAGCATCCCAAGTCTGAGGGTATAAATCAGTGATTCCCGTGTACGTAATACAATTTATTTTGGGTTTGTATGCATTGTTACGTAGAAATAAAAGTGAACAAGTGCCTAGTTTAAATTTGTTAACATAAATTGCAAGGCTATTTATGCTGACTGGTGAAATTTTTGACTAACTGGTGGGACATTATAAAATTTTTCAAGCCCTGCCTTTGCTCATCAGTAGGATTTGGAGGCACCTTTGTGCCGGGACCCACCCCCTCCATTTCTGCTTCTGCTGCTGCTTCACAGATCTGAAGCAGCGGGTGCTGTTCCTCCTCGCCTGCAAGTGGATCCGGAGTGGGGTATGCATGCACACTGCGGAGCTTAGGAAATGTAGGGGTAAAGCAGTGATGAAAGGGCTGAGATCCTGCAGCCCTCTAATCACTGCTTTCCCCCTCCACTTCCTAAGATTGCTGCTTTCCCCCCTCACTTCTGTAGGCCTTTGATCCTGCTTTCATGGGGCTTAGGAAGTAGAGGGGGAAAGCAGTGATCAAATTTTCTTATTTGGGGAATACGGAAAAATACGGTATCTGCTGAATTAGTAAATGAGTTGTGAGTCACTGATCTATGGCTAGTCTTCATTTTATCCAAGGAAAAATATGTGTAATTATCTAAGTGGTGGTAGTTTTGGAGCAGCCAAAAACTTAGCTAGCTTCTGTTACTGAGTCCTGTTAAAGACAAAAGTCACTGGTCTCTTGCAAGGTTTATTGAGTAGAGGTTGGCATGGTTGCTGCATGCTGCAGTGTAGACAAAGAAAAGACACAGGCACCCTCACAGGCTGAGGGATCTTCCTGAGTCTAGCTGGGCCTGGTCCATACAGACCACTGCGGTGAGATATTCAGCATACAGATAACTACAATTCCTCCCTCCTGTGACTCAGGGACTGTCAAGACATGGATGCTAGGAAGGGTTTTTATGTCCTTGCTTCCTTAAATTACAACTGACAGGGAGAAATGGAAGACAATAGCCACATGGAAGACAATGGAAGACAATGGAAGACAATGACAGGGAGAAATGGAAGACAATAGCCACACACATTCTCCTGCATGGAAGAAATGCTCATTTGTGATGAGTGCCTCAAAATCCTCCGGCAAATTCAGCACATCAGTACCCTTATATGATACACTACTCTTGGAAGAATAGATTTGTGAGTACAAGATGCTACATCTGAATCAGCTATATGACATTCATGTAACAGAGCATAAATGTGTTTTATACAGATAATTTCCAGTATAGTATGCAGCCATGAAAGTGCCATCTCTTGGCAGTCCACTCCATGCAAAAAGGACTAGCGTCTGAATGGCCCAAGATAATCAGCAGAGTGACTATTATTATCACTTTGGTGGAAATTAATATTTCTCTGTGTTGTTGATCTTGAATAACAAACAAGAATTATTGTCTCCAGAAGTCAAACTGATTCTGAACTAGAACCAGGCGTCCTTTTCTGCTGGTGCCATGAACTTCTGATTTGTGGAGTATGAAGTATTTTTAATTATGGGTTACTGGAGGATCTTGTTCTTCTGCAAGCAAACGGTGCTTGCAGGGAATTTCCAGCCAAGATAGTATCTGTTGCTAAAGCACATAATAGTGACAGGTGTCCATATTCCTCCTTATAGCTTTTGTGAGTCTGTGACTCAAAAAGAACAAGAAGCTTGAGTTTTGATGAAATCATAAATTAAAGCTGTATTGTTATCTAATTTTCTACTGCTTGTTAGCTTTGCTGCTAGCTTTTGTTGGAATGAGGGGAAATTCTAGCATGTTCTGCTTACTGTGGGAAAAAAGCCCCACATTTGTATGTAGGTTGATGCTTGTTAAGACTTGTTCTGATGAGTGGTGTCATTTACTTTTCTTCCATATTTGTTTTATATCTTGTAATCAACATATCCTCTAATTTTCAGTCCCACTGGGTGGGGCTCCACCTCTCCCGCAACTTCTCCCCTGCATGTGTGTGCGACTCCGCCCCTGCGTGTGTGGAGGATTCTGATGTGACCGAAATCAAAGGGACTGCGTAGAGTAGGAAGGAGGCAGAGCCATGCATGCAGCCATGCACCTTAGAGTGATCCTTGCTTGTACTTATAACCGGCTCTGAGATTATGGTGATTTTACTCCCACTTTTCCTTTTTCTCCATCTTCTATTTCCTTTGACTTTTTTGTGGGGGGAGACAGAAGGGTTGTGCAATTTATTTTGTCAGTCTGAGATAGGCAAATCTCTACTGCAGACCTACAGTGGAGTCTCGACTTACAGTCGGCTCCACTTACGAATTTTTCAAGATCCGTGCTTTTCTGGCCGCAAATTTCCACTTTGACTTGCGGCCAGAGAATCGACCTACGGACCAGAAGAGGGAGGCGGGGAAAGGGCCATATTCAAATTTGGCACTTTCCTCACCTCCCCCTTCCAGTCCATAGGCCACGGATCTGCCTCCGGATGCCTTCCAGGGCTTCTCCGCCGCCATGGGAGACATTTCAGAGGTCCCCCCCACCGTCGATAGTCCTTCGGAGGCACTATCAGCGGTGGGGGGGACCCTCCGAGATGCCTCCCATTGCGGTGGAGAAGCCCTGGAAGGCATCTGGAGGTCCCCTGCCGCCGCTGCTTTGATTCGTATTTCCCGCCCTTTCCCCCTGCCCTTTTGCCTTCGGAGGTCTCAAACGGCTTCCTCCATAGTCGGGGAGAAAGCCGTTTGAGACCTCCGAAGGCTCACAGCAGCGGCGGCAGCGGCTGGGGGGACCTCCAGATGCCTTCCAGGGCTTTTCCGCCTGGAAGGCATCCGGAGTTCCCCCTCCTCCTGCTGCCGCTGCTGCTGGAAGCTGAGCCACGCCGGGCGATCCTGGCCATGTTCGGACTCCTGGACTTCCCCCCCCAGGTGGGGGCAGGCCAGGAGGCTTTTTTCATCTTCTAGTCTTATCCACTCTCTTAACCATTGTAGTGCTGCCACCTCATAATTAGAGGTTTGGGAGACCCCATCCTCCTTGTCATACCAGGGGAAGCCCTCCCCTGGTAGGCCCGGTCCACTCTGGGAAAGCCTGCATCGGCAGGGGTGGGGGAGCTCCGAGAGGCCTCTGGCAGCAGCTCCGAAGCCCTCAGAGTCCTCCGGCAGCGGCGATGACGGCGGCAGGGGACCCTGGAAGGCTTCAAAAAGGTTATTTTTTTTACATTTATTTTAATTTTATGGGAGCGGGGGGGTGTTTCTTGGGTGGGTTACGAATTAATTGGTTTACAATGCATTCCTATAGGGAATGCATTTGCGACCTGCGGACTTTTCGACCTATGGACCTCGTTCCAATACAGATTAATTCTGTAGGTCAAGCCCCCACTGTATTAGTGAGATTGTGGTTGGGAAGTCGTATATAGATAAACACAGTCACTGAAGAGGTCAGAGTGATTTGGCTTTTTTTTTAAAAAAAAAGATTTCTTAAACAGAAACATTACATGTTTTCAATTTGGAAAATGTGTTCGGTTTTTTTCCCCTCTTTGTATTTAGGGCACCTGAATTGAGGACACTTAATTTTATCCATCAGATGTGAGAAAGCTTCTGTTGTTACAGGTGCCTTCAGTGATGCTGACACTAGAGACTTAGAGCCAAGAGTTGATTAGGATTGTTAGCTGTACAGGCAGCAGGGGAAGGAAAAAGTACAGTGTGAAGAGGTTGAGGAAACTGGAAGAAGGAACATGTGGCAGGTGGTTGTATTTAAATGTTGAAGCACGGAAGTTCCCAAAGTTGAAATTTGCATGTGTGGGGTGTGCTTGTAGAACTTTCAATCAGTTACATGCACTGTTTATATAGTTTCGTGGACCTTTGATAAAACCATCTCCCTTTTTTCTGTTGTCTCTAGCTCACTCTGTGCTTTTCTGCATCAGGTAACCTTAGTTATAGACATATGAGCTGTGCTCACAGGTTAACTGAACCAGAGCCTGGAAAACTGTGGTTTATGGAAACAAGCCAAGAACAAACTTTGATAAATAACTCTTATTTATTTCTCTAAACCATAATGCAAACTACAGTTTTGGACTGCAAGTAATGTATAACCATGTTTAGGGAAAATCTAAGCAACAGCTGCTTGAATTACTTTCCACTAGCTTATTGGGGGAGAGAGAAAGGGATAGCACATAAGATCAAAAGTCATGCACCTCATAGTAAACTGTGGTTTAGCATATCTAACCAGGATGGTCAGTGGTCAGTGATTATGGTCAGGATTTGAGTCTATGCATTGGAAGAAAGACAGGATATACTGTAAATGAAATAACTTATGGGGAATTGGGGAACTTCTGGAGGGTTTCAGGTTGTCTACATTTGCTGTCACATTATGCATGAACTGGCGCAGATGATCTTCGTCACCATCCCACTTTCTGTAGAGAGAAAACCATTGAAGAAACCCACAATGTGTCTCAGTCACTATCTGTCCCCACAAAGTGATTTATTTCCTTTGGATATGGATATCCCATTAAGCTGTTCTGGAGAACGAGCCATTAATAAAATTATCGTCTATAATATGCTATGAAAGCTGATGGCTATTATTGTATCATTTAGCAGAAAAAAGTCATAAATGGACTATATATTGCTTAAAGAATAATTTTCTCTACACTCCAGAGTTTAAGCTACATAAAATAATCAATGGTTTGGTTAGCTTATTGGACAGCAGTAAACCAAAGATGGATAGGTGGTCGTTGTTTTTACTGCTGTTAAAAACCAAACAAGCCAAGTAGCTGCGCATGAGCAGTGAGTATGCCAACTGTTCCCAAAAGCCACAGTTTGATGACTGTTGCAGTCAGTTCACATTATTTTCTATCTCGTTTCACTGTCCGTTTCCCTAAATATAAATCCATCTGCCAGTCAGTAGCCCAGTTTCACTGCAGGAAAAGCTAATCTTCATAATTAGGAAATCAAACTACCTTACTCTGTTCTTTTAAGAAATCTAATATTTACTTTAGCATGCAAGCTAAACTGATTTATCATGATCTCATTCCAATAATGATTCGTCTTTTGGCTTAATATTTTAGAGACACATTTAGGTAATAGAAAGTACAGCAGAATAGCAGATAATAATCAACATCTCCCCTTTAAAAATCATCTGATTCTTTGTCTTAATATCAATTCTATGAAAGCTTAGAAGTGGAAAGCATAGGGATCTTTCTCACAATGTGTATGCCTGTCTCTTTACAGGAGAACATTTCAACTTGTTTCTATGCTTTCAGTGGGTGTTTTGTGGATGCATTTATGGGTGAAGAAATTGAGGCTGAAATGACTCAGTTGGGGGCTTGATTTTGAGCTCTCCAGAGCAAGTAGATTTTTTTTTGTTGAAATGTTGATGCCTAAGTCTGCATGTTCTGCTACATAAGTGAAGCAAATGCTCAGATTTGCCTGAATTGTTTGCTGCTGTAGAAGCTCTATTGCCACTAGCTGCTCTGACATTTTCATCTTTTGCTGTGTTTGTTAGAAACAAAGCAGAGTTTGCTGCCCCCTTCCAGATGTGCACCATGAATTACAGTAATTTTTGAGGGGGTAGAAGGTACTGTTTCTGCATTCTCTTTCACCCGCTATGGCTGCTCAGTAATTAATTGATCAACCAAGGAAATGCTGTTTTCAGCTGCAAGCTGTGTATTAAAATTGTGTGCTTTTCTCACCTTTCTCTTCCAAGTTAATTTGGTGGGATCCTGCGGGGCTGTTTCTTCTATTAAACAGAGTAAGGCACCTGATTTAGGATAATCTAGAGCAGTGATGACGAACCTATGACACGCGTGCCACAGGTGGCACGCAAAACCCTTTCTTCTGGCATGCGAGTGAGGGGCCCACCCATCCACCCCTGTGGAAACAAACCTTTTGAAGTGGCTGTAGCTGGGATTCCCCCTTTCTCTTCCTCTTCTGGGTCCTTTTCCTGTCTGTCCCCATGATTCCCCCTTTAACTTCCCGTCCGTCCCCATGATTCCCCCTGAAACTACCACTTCCTGTTCCGGTTCTGGTCTTCCGGGCGGCACAGCAGCCCCACCCCTCATTTTGGGCACTGGAGCCGAAAAAGGTTTGCCTCCACTGATCTAGAGGCACTTTGTGGCTTCCTCTTGAATCTCTTAAGCATTTGTTAGGGGGTGGAACTGTATGTGTCATATGAGCAGTCCTGCACCTTCTAAAATCAAGAGGTTGCTCATCTCAGCAGCAATAGACAGCACTGCCCCACTGCCAGTGTTGAAGTACAGTAAGTGTTGAAGTACGATGCAGCTGCCCAGACTAATTTGTTTTGTAATTGGAATGGGGCAAGGGGACATATTGCTCTTCACCTATGTTAGCAGAATGTCTTGGTCTATCCTAAAGGCCCTTAGTGCTAACACAGGAAAGAGCAAGCAAGGTTTGAATGAGAGCAGTGAGAAGTGCAGTGTCTTTGCTAACTTTCTTGTCTCTAACTCTGTTTTTCCCAGGTTTCTGTGGACATTGGCAGCAGTTCAATTAGAGTAGCAGTACAGGAAGGAAATGGGCATCGTGTGCTCATGGAAGGCACCCTTACACACAAGATCAACACAGAAAACTCTGTCTGGAGTCTTGACCCAGGGAAATGTATCCTAGTAAGTGCTGTTTTACACGTTACTGTAACTGTGCATATGTGTCATGTGCATTCTATTTCCTTCCCATTGGATTTGCATTCCAAGAACTTATGGAAAGTAATGGTTGCCAGATCATGATGTAGACTGTATATTGGACTAGGGGCAACCTCTTAAGGTCCTGGAAGTATACGTACATACCTATCCCTGACCTTTGGAGAGTTGCGTCAGGTGCCATGGCTTCTGCACCACCCAAATTCTTACAAATTTAGCTGCAGCTGAATAGTTGTGTTCCTAATGGAAAACCACATGGAAAGCCCACATACAGCATCTTGAGTTCCATGAATGTCAAGCAATATAACAAATGTAAAATTGTAAGTATATAGAGTAATCAGTGCTATTAATGTACTATCTGTGTAGTAGAGCTACGGTGTATTTTCAATATGGTCTACAGCAGACCTGGGCAAAGTGCGGCCCCAGGGCCACATACGGCCCTGCTCCTGTCCGGCCCGCAGACAGTTTTGAACATCAAAACCACTTATAGCTTTTTGTCTAAAGTTGATCAGTTGCTTATCTTTAACGTACTGCAAAAAAATTCTTTAGTATTTGTGAAGATTAACAAGTTTAAAATAAAAACAATCATAACATTACTGTTTCATTTTATTTTTGAGTAAACTTGGTTCGACCCCCGAACACAGTTCAGATTTTTCATGTGGCCCGCCTATAGAAATTAATTGGCCACCCTGGTCTACAGGAAGTAAAAATTAGATTTTCCATTAGAAATTAGAAATGGTTGAAATTCATGCTCTTAATCTCTCAACATTAGGGAGGCTGGCCACGGCTGATAAGAAATGTAGGCCATAGTTGCCAGTCCTGGTCTATGCTAACAGGAAGCAGTTCCCTGGACAGGACTTTTTCTTGCTGTGCCTGGAAACAACAGAGCTTGAACCTGTGACCTTCTTCATGCAAAGCAAGTGCTTTCTAATGAACCACGTTCCTTTCTTTTGAAAGGCACCCAGAATCTATACTCAATCTGATACAGTCAATTAGACAAATAATGTATGTTCAAGTTTCTACTGACTAATCATTGTCTCTTTATTTGTAACACTTGCAATAGTCTTTGCACATAGGGGGAACTACGAAGAAAAGATGCCAAGATGAGGGTACATAACTGAATATCCCTTTGGTTTATATAATTAGGTTTAGATTCAGTAGGGGAATAAAGATTAAGGGGTAGTTCAAAAAGCTTTACAAAAAATGTGGATTCGTTAAGGGATCTGAAGTGGGAGACAGGGAGTTAGCATCATGAATATTTTTGAAGGTATAAGAAGCAGCTAGGCAAATATAATAGACTCACATACAGTTGCATGTCTCTTGGATTTTGGGTTTCTCCTATGTAGTATTCTGTGTGCTTTTCTAAATATGTCATGTACACTCACTACATGCTAGAGAAAAAAGCTTGCTCTGCTGTGTAACAAATACGAATTTGTTGTTGTATATGCCATCAATTATATGCCATTTATAGGTCTCTTGACCTATAAATGACTGATCTCCAAAATGTCCTGTCATTAACACTCTGTTCAGCTCTTGCAACTAAACTCTGTGGCTTCCTTTATGGAATCAATCCATCACATAATTTGTTTTCTTTTTCCCTGCTGCTTTCCACTTTCCTAGCATTATTGTCGACAAATCTTATCTTATCATGATGTGCCCAAAGTATGATGGCTTCAATTTCATTTATTTTTTTCTGGAGAGAGTACAGACTTGATTTGATCTAGGACCCACTTATTCATCTTTCTGGTGGTCCAAGGTATCCACAAAGCTATTCTCCAGCACCAGTTTTCGCACGAATCAATTTTTTCCTGTCAGCTTGCTTCATAGTCCAGCTTTCAGATCCATACATAATTTTTAAGTATGCAACAGTGCAAATGATCTTAACTTTGATCTCCAAGGAAATGTCATTACATTTAATGGGCTTTCCTAGTTTCTTCATTGCTATCCTTCTATGTCTTTTTCTGATTACTTGGTTACAGTATCCATTTGGATTGACTGAACCAAGGTACAATATACAAAACCTTTAATGATTTCAGTTGCTTCATTGTCAACATAAAAGTTGTGTAGTTCTTCAGTAGGCATGATCTTTGCCTTTCTGTTTGCTAACTCATAAGAGAGCACAGTATACAATTAAAACTGAGACAGACTCCAGGAAGCAAGTGACCAGAGAGAGCGAACAGGGAGAGCTAACAGGAGTTTGGCAGGGAGCCCCTCCCCCCCCTTTTTTAAAGGATTCTGGATATAATTGTATCTTAGTGGACTTTCCCAGCAGCCTTCAAGGCTGGCAACAGAGGAAATAGAAGAAAGACAAAAAGACGAACAAAAGAAAGTAAAAAAGGTAACAGGTATTGTGGAGGGAAGAGAAACTTCAGTAGGAAATACTATATTAAAAAGTCACAGGAGCAAAAGGAGAAGACACTCTTCACCAGTGGAATTACAAAATCACTTTTAGATTCTTGAGGATAAAGCTGGCAGATAACATGCAAAACAAGACATGTCGCAGGAGGACATGAAAGAGGCCAAAGATAGCCCAAGAAATTCTTGGCTTGAGTTGCTGATAATTTTTCCCCTGAAAATATGGAGGAAGAAATTAGAGGATTAACTATCCTTGACTTAATTCTAACCAATAGAGATGACTTGGTGAAAGAAGTGAGAAATTGGAGGATTAACTCTCCTTGACTTGATTCTAACCTATAGAGATGACGGTGAAAAAAGTGACAGCAAAAGTATCAGAACCTGGTAAGGATTACTGTTTCTCCCAGGGTTCTACAAAGATTTAAAGACCTCTCCAGCAAAAAACAGATTCTATGATTTGTCATAGCTGACATTATTCCAGTAAAGGGTTAATCCCAGAATAAAACCTGACCATCGGTGGCAGGCTGTTCCAAACTGATCTGGGTATCTGATGATGTGTTTTCATTGCTGTTATAATTCCAGGCAACTTCAAAACTTGTTAATTATATAGAAGTTCTATTTATTTACATCATTTCTAGGTTCCATATGAGAAAACATAAAATCTGAAAGTGCTAAAAACATGTAACTTTTGAAAAATCACAGGTATTTTGCTTTGTCTTGCAAAAATCATTCTTATAGCTGTGAACAAAGCTGTAGGAACAAATACTTAAAAATATGAAAAGTGAACTTCAGTTGTATTGGATATAAAATATGTAGGGGTGTTGAAATACAGGAGCTAATACAGTCATAATTTTAAGAGCATAAGTACAAAAAAAAATACAAAAAAACCCTTTAAGTTACATTCTGAAATACAAGAGCATTTCTTTTAAGAGTACAGACTCTTTCAAGAGTAAAAATGAACAGTAAGGGCTTATAGCCTAATAAGGCAGAGAATACATCTCTAGAACACTTCAAAGTTCCGAAGAATAAAATTATCAAAGCCAAAAAAGCCTTATAAGTTTTGATGAAAGGCAAGGAAAAGTATTTAAACTTTAAAATTAAAAATATACAAAGTAAAAAAGCATTATTTAGCTCTAAGCATGTTTTTAACACACAAGGAAAATATTTTCTCACCAAGCCTTCGCCAGTTAGAATGAATGGCTATATTATGTCCATTGTTATTTCCTGGCCACTCTCAGACTATCCATGTGACAAAATATGTATCCTTTCCATTCCCTTTGGATAAAATATCTCTCCATTTTATTGCAGTGCACAAATGCTCCTTATTTATAGTCTAGTGTTGCATCAAAGCAAAACAAACTTTGTCAGAGTCTGGCTCTCCCAACCAATGAGAAGCTCAAGTGCTAAAGGCTACAGGATCTGGCCATCTCCAACCCAGCAAAGTCCAGTTTCTTGCATTTCCAAGCCTGGCCTGTGCAGCTCCTGGCTTTGTGGCTTCAAGGTCAGAATTAAATTCCCCCTTCCTTGAGCTAGTTCTTGTTAAAATAATGTAATTCTACTGGAGACAGTAGAATATTGTATTCTTACTGGGGACAGTAGAATACAGTACTAATGCCTATTTATTCATAAACACTACAAAATATCGTATGGTTTCATATTCCTTATTGTTAAAGGTAAAGGTAAAGATTCCCCTTGACAATTTGTCCAGTTGTGTCCGACTCTAGGGGGTGGTGCTCATCTCCGTTTCCAACCCGTAGAGCTAGCGTTTGCCCGAAGACAGTTTCCGTGGTCACGTGGCCAGCGTGACTAGACACGGAACGCCGTTTACCTTCCCACTGAGGAGGTACCTATTTATCTACTCGCATTTTTTCATGCTTTCAAACTGCTAGGTTGGCGGGAGCTGGGACAAGTGATGGGGACTCATTCCGTCGTGTGGATTCGATCTAAAGATTGCAGGTCTTCTGACCTTGCAGCACAGAGGCTTCAGCGGTTTAATCCGCAGTGCCACCACGCCCCATTCCACCACACTAAATAAGGGAATTATTAATTATGAGACTAAAGCATTCTAAAACAAATGAATCCTTTGTTTCTTCTTCTGTATTTGCTTATCATTGAATAGACTGCTTAAAATGACATTCATTCTTTTCTCCTTTTACACTATTCTGTGAAAGCTTCTGTTGTTCATCTATTGTTATTCACATTTGTTCAAGAAATATTTCCACATCTATTTCATGATACCTCTTTGTTAATTGACAGTTTAGGTAAAACACAACACAAGCGGCAGTTTAAAATACATTTCCATTTTTCTCCCTCTTACTGTCTATGTTTCACATAACGTAAGCACTCAATTGTTTACTTTTTTCACTGTGAAAACTGGTACAAAACAGAATGAGCTTCTACTGCCTTGTTACCTGATCAGTTCTGTATTCCAAAACAAATGGCTGGATTTTAGTTTTGTGCTATATGCTATCTTCAGAGAGCACTTTCCAATTGTACTTTTGCTTTTAATGCAATCTTTCTGAGGCGCATTTTTAAAAGAAGTTTTAGGGCAACAATTCTGCCCCCCGAAATGCAGTTTTTTGAATTCTAATAAGGGGAACTTGGGGAAAGTTACC